AAAAAATTATTAAATAAATAAAAATTAAAAAAATAAGAAGAAATAATTAAATAAAAAATAAAAAATGATAAAAAAGTGTAAAAAAAATAAAGAAACAGTAAAAAAAAATTGAAAATAACCCCGCCGCCCTACCATCTGGTTGCCATTCTCCATTGATGGGAAGGGGGGGCGTATCACGGAACCTGGCCTTGGGGCGGCAGGGAGAGTAAATCCATCCCTGGAGGTAAGTACAATGTCTCTGTATTTCAGTGACTTTAATTGTGATATAACCCTTTAAAAGAAGACTTGGTCTGCATCAGTCTGTTAGCTTCTGTCTGAGCAGCAGTCCATACCCACTAACATGATATGAAATAAACTAGGATACAAAACAGAATATACCACTTTTAAGAATTGTGTGTTATACTGTCACAGACTCACCCTTTAGTTTCTTTGCCTTTAAAATCAGATGACAGCTGTACATTGTCTTTCATTTCCTTGTTGGATTTAATTGAACTGGACATTTCACATGGCTGAAGAATAGCTGTATTCTGATGGAAAACCAAACTGTTGTAAAAATAACTTTTTAAAGCTACAAATGAACACTGCCACTTACAATTAGGTATATCATTATATTCTTACTTATTGAGTTAGGCAGCTAACGTAGCATTCCGGTCAAACACACATTGCACTCATGTATGAAAGTGCCTGAAAAAACAGCCTATGTTGCCAATGGCAAAATTTGATGCTCCCTTCCACTTTCATACCTCACTAGAACCATGAACAGGAAGTGGAAAAATAGTGGATCTACTGGCAGGATCAACAGATACCAAAAATTATGTTACAAGGGGGACTCCAGAAAACAAAAACTACTGTGTTCATGCTAGTGACAGACCGCATTATACAGTATATGTTTTGTTCTTTTTTTGCATTTTCAATTTTTATTAAAAAAGAAGCAAACATTTGGGGGGGATACAGAAGAAAAGAATTGAAAATTGTGTACACGAGAGGTTCTGTACCTCAGCCAGAGATGGTCAACAAAAGTAATTGGTGCATTTGATAATACATTCAGTTCACAGTGAATACACAATATGGAGATACGTTTGATGTTATATTAAAGGAGAACTATGAGGTGAGTGCTTTTCACTCACCTCATAGTTCTAGCCGACCTGTGACAATGAGACTGTCACAGGTCGGCTCAGTAGATCGGGAGGTGAGCGAATACATGCCGGTGTTCGCTCACTTCTCGATCCTGTCACGGCTCTCTGCTGGCTGGCGGAACGGACGGGGGAGGGGCGGGTACAGCTGGCTCTGCCTCTAGATAGGCAGAGCCAGCTGTCACTCACGCAGCTGGGCGGATCTCGATATCGATGTCGGGATCCGCTCCGGCTGCAGCGTCTCAGTATACTGCGAACTGCAGCTCGCGATATACTGAGCTTAGGGTGACAGGAGGACGCTAGTTTGCGTCGTCCCGTTATCCTAAGGAGAACTATGGGGAAAAGCACTGACCCCATAGTTCTCCTTTAAAGGATATGCTTTCCAACCATATGTACTGTATGTGTAAATAAGTAAGTTGGACTAAAAAACAGATTCTGAAGTGTTATTGGTAATAAGAGTATGGTATGGCATGGCTTCTGCTGCTGCAAATGAGGGAAATCTGCAGGGGGGGGGGGGGGGGA